CCAAGGATTTAAGCAATTTACTCAAGGTCACATGGAAAGCAGGTGATGGAGTCTGGGTTCAAACCCAGGTCAAGCAGACCTCAAAACTTGTCCCCTCAAACTCACAGCTGAGCTGGGACTATGGATAATGTGAGCTTCTATTTCTGGAGCCTCATCAGTGTCAACCCTGTGCTCAACCCCTCCTCCCACTTTGTGGTGGTTTTATGCCTCCCATACCATGTGACATGGGTACCATCATTATCCCCTGTGGGAGTTAAACAGAGACAGGCCACCAGGAGCCTGAGGGAGCACAAAAGGGCATGTAGACACTGAGCCATGCCATGGGAGGAATTGGGAGCACTTGGATGGAGGAGAGATGGCCCCAGGATGGCCCATGAGAGCTATTTTCCAATATCTGGGTTTCATCAGCAGAAGAGAGGCTCCTGGGAAGAGGGCCAGCCGAGGCCACCATCCCATGGAGGGATGTGGGAGGGGAGCTAGAGCAGGTGCCACTCTCCCTCTGGTGCAACCTGGGGAAAGCAGTACCCTGGCAGGGGACCCTTCGCACTCCGTAGAGGGCCAACAACTAAGGACCGTGTCCCAGCCAGTAAACCCCTGACACAGAGGGCCTCTGAGTCTGACCCTCCCCTGCTTCAACACCTGTCCACAGTACATACTAGGTAGGTCTTGTTTGGCCTACATAGTGTTTAAAAACAATTGTGCTAACAGCTACAAATGGAAAGATTTCACATACAAATCCCAGTCCTGATTTCTGGTTTCTGAAAGCAGGAGGATGGAGCATTCCTGGGCACACTCCCCTGCCTGGCTACCAGGAGTCTGAGGCAGTGGTGAGGGCCTGCCCCTTCCAGGGGCTGTGTAGTCTCATTTAACCACTGTCTCCACTTCTCCCTATTGCTCCCCTGTTAAGCTGAGGCCAAACGTGAGAGGCCATTTCACAGAACATTTATCCTCCTGTTTCACTCAAGTAGAGACCCATGCTGCTAACAAAAGTGGGAAGCAAGCAATATGCTGAGACAGCCTTATGTTCAAGAAACAGCTGAGAAGGCACATCTCTTTGTCAAGTGAAGTGTTGACGTGACTGCTTCTCTTATTCATGTGGCTGAGCACTTGGATCCTGCAGACACTGTTTTTGACCCTTGGCCTACAGGCAACTCCAACATCAAGAAGCAGATCCATGTGAACCTGGAGGGGTGGCCTGGGCAGTTGGGTGAGCACAGCCCCTCTGTCCTTCCAGAGCCCCAGCTTGATCCTGAGCTCTCTCCACTACCGGCTTTCTTGCCTCCCTACCTGTGACCATGCAGTTCCCACCTCCTTCTGGCCCCACGGGCCTCACCCTCACCCCAATCTCCACCACCTGGATCCCGCCACCTTTCGGGTGGGCCAGCTGGAGTGACCCCCTGTCTTCTCTGGGCTCCTCATGCTCTGTTGGTACCATTCTTAGGTTCTTGGTCCTGGCTGACCAGCTGTGGGAACTCACTTTTTATTCTGCTGTGAGCTACTTAAGGGACGGGCCCAGGCCTGCTTCATTTCTGCACCCCATGTGCTGTGCCCATATATAGGTTAGATCAATAACTATGGACTGAGTTCCAGGTATCCCAAAACCTTTCCGTGGGAAAGCGTCATAGGCTGAGAAACTAGGATACACAGATTGAAGCCAGTGAGGCCTGGGCTGGCCAACCCCCAACAGCTGCTGGAATATTGGGCTCACTGGTGCCCCCTGCCCTGGATTACCCCCATGTCTCAGCTAGGTTTACTGAGGGGACACCAGTTTACACCCTGTATCACACACACACACCCAGATGGGGCCTTGAGACCAGACAGCTGCCTTCACACCGGGCCTATCACCCACTTAAAAGGGCAGCCACATCTCTGCGTAAGATGTTCCATGAAAGAAAGTTCCGTAAACTTTTACCTAAAAGCATCTCCCACAAAATGCATAATTGAGAAACTATGTCTCAGGGAAACCAACCCCTGTGCTCTAAAATATTGTTGTTCTAGAAAGTGTTTCTGGACCTCAGGCATTGTGGGGGCCTGAGCTTCCTCGGTCCCCTCACCCATTTGTTTCTGTCTCTCCTCTACAATGTGGGCTCCAAGAGCCATATATGCCGCCCAGCAGGGACTCAGGAGTGACCGACAGTGTGCTGACTGGGATGGCTTAGCAAGCATGAACCTTCCCCCCCCAACACCCTGCCAATCTGTGATTGGGAAATCAGGCTTGGAAGTTCCTAATCTGGAACTCCCCATCCCTGTAATGTTGCATCCAGAGCAGGGATTGTGATAGAAACAGCACTGTGCTGAGAATGATCCCCTCCATTCTTCAGGGCCCAGTTCCAGAGAGGCTGGGTTCTTGAAGGGCAATGCCTGTGTCCTGTGCAAGAAGCGACCAGCCCACAGAGAGATGGGAGGAGGTTGGGAGGCAGGAAGGTGTCCTGCTCTTGGGAGCAGGGAGGGATTGGCTGCTGCTGTGAACAGGAGGGAGCAGGGGGAGGCATGGAAAGCAGGCAGCCGCAGCCCCCAGGGCCTCGCCCAGCAGCTCTGAGGCCTTTAGTTAAAGATGCAGTTGGATTTCCAAGATGAATGGGTTGAACCTGAGCAACCAAAATGAGATCGTTTTAACAGCAAGGGAGAGAAGAGTTAGGGACCTCTATGGAGGCCTCGTTAAGGGAGCCTGCTATCCAGTAGGAAAGACTGTGTCGACAAAAATGAATTTTGGAGCTATTATTGGAAAAATAAAACTATTTCACATTTATGCCTTGAGAGGTTGAGACTCCTGGGCCAAATCCATTACATTTGAATATTTACATGTATAAGTATATGCTTGTGTATGCACAGATCTTCCTGAGAAGATAAAAAAGAAATGTAACCGCTGTCTCTGTGAGGGACGATGGCCCTGGGCAGTGGGGGAGGGAAGCGGGTGAGACAAGAGAGGGGCATCAACTTTTCACCTATTCCTTTGTTCCTTAAAAAAATTTAAACATAGGCACATATGATACTTTGAATTAAAATGCAGACGTTTTGAAAATTTTGCTAAATGGCACTGGATGAGGTCTTCCTGTATCTGATCTCAAGCAACGGCTGGGGTTAGAATGGATTTTCTCTTCTTATGGTCCTAGGGGAGGAGGAGAGAGCCAGGGGCCCACCTTCCTGGGCGACAGCTGGTGGCCTGAAGCTTGCTGGCTGGCTGGGCATGTGTGCCTCTTTGTCACCTCACTAACTGCATTAGGGCACCTCACTGGGCAGTCACATGGTCAAACGCTGGGCCAGTCTGTCTTCTGCCGGCTCTCGGTGTTTCCTCATTCACCCCTGGGACTGACAGTGAAGGGTCCAAGGGGCGGGCCTGTCGCACCCATGCCTAGAACCAGGACGTACCCCCAACCCCCGGCCTCCGCAAATTACAAAACTACAGCAGCCAGAAGAACCTTATGGAGCAGCAGGTTAAAGCCCACATTTCATGGATAGGGACCCACACAACAGAACTAGAACTCAGGGCTTCTGCTTCCCAGGCCAGGACTCTTTGCAACTCAAGGGGCAGGGGGCAAGGAGAGGCCCTCCTGCTTGGGTGGTGGGCAGAGGAAGAGAGGGTTTAAATGGGTACCTCTGACTCCTGCCGTGAGGACTGCAAGCTGCCTGCCTGTGGGGGTTCTGGTATGAACTAACTGCCCCACCCCTGACTCTGCCCAACCCTTACTAGGCTGGTACACCCACACCGTTCCTGTCCTACACACACAGAAAGGGGATGGCTCCCAGTACTCTGGGTCCCCAGGGAACTATGACAATCTGAGCAGTGGGTCTGTGCACATGTATGTGCAAGTGTACCTTGCCCATCCCACCTCCCCCATTAGCTCCCAGAGGACCTAGTCCACAGGTGTGGCATCCCCCCAGGTGGAGTGCCAGGCAGTACCTGGCATATCCCTGAGCCATGGGCCTCTGAAAGCCAGAGCTTGTGGGGAATGTAGGTACCATATACTTCAGGGCATGGAAAGGCTAACAAGGGCTCCATGGCCAAATACATCTGGGACACCCTGTATCAATACAAGACCAACTTCTTCACACAGGACATCTCAGAGCTTTTCATGTGCTGATGGATATTGTGACTCTCCCTTATAGGACCAGAGGGTGCTTTTACCCCTTAAGAGATCACAGAATCCACCCATGGGGCAGGCAACACATGCTGGAAAATGCTGAGACCAGATTCAATTCACACACGGAGACCTGAGGACCCAGGGGACCAGCTGAAAACAGCCACCTCCACTTATACAGCCTTCCTGTAAATTAGGAAAAAGCGCTCCCTCAAGACACTTCCATGTGTAGGAAAATTAAACACCAATATATTGACTTTTATTAGGACAAGAGCTTTTACTGCCATCTTCTGGAAATATCTCATAGTAAATACACAAATCTATACTCTGTGTGGTAATAGCACCATTCTTGCCCTTAGATATAGAACTCTTGTTCAGTGCAAAACCTGCCCAACCATGCATGACTGCCCTGGGTCCAAAGTCACAAGATCTCAGCTCACACATCTTTCCCTTACTGCCTGCACGGTATTCTTATGTCCCAGGTGAGTGCCCTGAACTGACCTCTCAGCCTCAGTTGGGATATACCCTCCAGAAATTCTCACAGACACAGGGATCCTGGGAGCTTCCTCTCTGTTGTCCCTTCCTGCCCATCACCTAACCCATGGCAGGCTCGAATGACTGATGCCTGAACATACTCCACGAATGCTTATGCATGGAGAGCACTGAATGAGGAGCAGAGATCAGAATTCAGGTCCAGCATAGGCTCCAACTTGCTGTGTGACCACGAAGTCCTTATCCCTCTTTGGGTGAGTTTTTCCTTCTGTAAAATGAGGAAGTTAAGCTTGATCATTTCTAGCTCAGAGAGCTCTGTGACCCTCCACCCCCTGACAACAGTGGCCCCACCCCAAATCTGTGCAATTTTGAGAAAAGTAGGAAGGTCATTCCCAATTTCTGATAGACAGTCAAGAAGACAGCAGAATACAACCTGGATTTTTTTTTATTAGACTAGGAAATATAATTTATTTCATAAAAATTAATTTTGTTACAATAGAAATGCTAAACATATTTACAAGTTGAAGTTTACAGAATAAACAGAGGTGGGATTGGGCCATCCCTGCAGCCCTACGCCCCTGGGACATATAACCACGTCCATGGCCCAGGCAGGGGGTCCAGCCCTTTGCCCCCAGGAGCTGCTCCCTGCACCCAAGTTCCCGGTCACTCACCCTCAGAGGGCCTAAGGGACCTGACTCAGCGGCCTGGTTGCTGAGGGAAGGGCAGAGGGCCCTGGATCATCCAGGAGATGGAGCCCCCCACACCCTCAGGAGGACCCCTGGGCACTGTGAGAGAAGGCAGAGGAGAGGCACGTATACACCGACTGACCCTGTGGACGCAGAGAGGACAAAAACAGGCACGCCAGCCTCCAGATGTCTCAGCCTGGGACCCGAGGAGGGCACACACTCACACAAAGGTTGGGGACATGTTCCTAGAGGGGCATCCTGCTGTGCCTGCGGATAAGGCACCGCACACAGGGTACGGACACATGCACACACACGCGCAAGCACATCCCAGAGGCGGGAGAGGTGTGATCACCTGTGTAAGAGCCCTGCAGCAGCTCCCAATCTGCCACTTTTGAGGCACACAGGCCACATGAGGCTGCTTCTCAGGCTTGAGTAGGAGGAAAATCTTGATCCCACCTGAGGTGGGCAGTGTGGGGATACAGTCAGAGCAGCCTCAGCAGATGGATGGAGCCAGCAAACCCCTTCTGGGCTTTCTTTTTATAAAGCTGGACAGCTTGAACCCTTCCAATAGAATTTGTTTGGTGCTCCAGGCCATGGTACACCATTTCTGGAAATCAGGTTAGAAATGGCACCTGGGTGGCTGGCCTGGACTCATCCTGGGTGCTGGGCAAGCAGGCTTCAGAGGGTGGGCAGGGAGGAGGGGTATGGCAGACCCCAGACAACTTCTACCCACTAGGGTTCCCAGCAGAAGCCTAGTATGACACCATTTCAGAACCCGAAAGACCTCAGACAGCAGCTGTGGGCCCTCTAGGTAAAGAAAAAAGATGAGGCCCAGAGAAGGCAGCCATATGCTTGAGGCCACACAGCACTTTAAATGGCAAAGCTGGAGCGTGAATTGGTCTTTGGACTCTGGGCTGCCTGTGGGCACTCAGAGCTGGTGATGACAACAGCGCCACAGTAAAGGCCCTCAGGGACCAGTTAGGCTGTCCTCGCGGCCATGCTATCACACAGGCCTATGTGTTTCCGACAGGCAACTTTGGTAGGAAAAGCTTGCTGACCTTGCCTGAGGCTAATGTCTACACACACACTGGGGTAAAGAGCCATGGTCTGAGCCTCGGGGACCCTCCCTAGAGGCAGGGCTGGCCCTTTCAGTAGCCCTGAGAGAAGGAATCCTTGCTCAAACTGAGCAGGCCTTTGTTTGCCCTTGGCCAACCTACCTCCCAGGGGGGCTGGTAGGGCGTGAGAACCCCCATAAGCCCCAAGGCAGGGAGGACAGTCTGGGGATGCTGGCTGGGACCACAGCCTCAAAACCTGCTTTCCTCCCAGGAGACCAAACTTTTGAAGGCTAGAACAGGCCCAGGCTGGTCCCAGTGGCTGTTCATGGACATGTTGGGGCAAGTCCTGCCTGGTGCCCAGAGCGGCGGGGGGTGGGGCTGGCGCTCTGCCTTGAGTGCCTGGGAGAGGAGGCCTTCAATGAGGTCTCCGTGACAGCTGCAAGATCCTCCTCTCAGCCATCACCAGCCAGCCGAAAAGGGACCCTGATGGCCCCTTGGAACATTCTGAAGGAGGCTGGTAAGGAGGGGCCAGCCCTTCCACTCTGGCAACCCTGCCTGTCCAAACCTTACTTCAAGATCTCCCAGACGACAGTGGGAGGGTGAGCATAGGGGGCGAGGAAGGCACCTGTGGAGATCAGAGCTGGGAAAATAGTCCTCTGCCCTTCCTCCTCCACTCTGGGCATGTAAAGCAGTCAGGCCACTCACCACCTAGCCTCCCATGCCACAGGGCTGACGTTAACACATTCCTCAAAGCCACACCAAGGCCCAGAAGCTCAGGCTTCTGTAGCTAGAGAGGCCTTCTCACTCATCCCTTCTGTTTTATAGGAGAAACTGAGGCTGGGGAAGGGCAGATCCTGGATTTCTGGGCATTTGCCAACCTGCTCCAGCCCATGTGGTCTAGAGGCTGCTGGGTGGCAGTGTCCTGGCTGGCCCCACCCTGGGGGTGAAGGACAGAGGTGTCTATGCGGGACTCTCAACCCCCAGTTCTTTCTCTGCAAGGGACCCATGTGGGCCACACCCCTTCTCCAGAAGCCACCAGACCATGGCACTGGAGACATCCTCCCTGGCTCAGGCTGGCCTCTCCTGCCCACATGTTCCATCCCAAGGCCTCTTCATCTGGATTCCCAGGAGCTCAGAGGAGCCTGCTGGGCATCTGCCTGGGCTGTGGGAGGAAGGCAGGACCCAACTCACTCCAGACCTCAGGGCTCCCTGACTTCATGGATTCAGTGTCTGCTTAAGATTTTAGAGGGAAACATGGCACCACAGCTAAAACCCCATTTGACCCTGTATAAGAGGGGAAACCAAGGTCTTGCAAGAATTTAGCCTAAGACGGAATCATTAGCAGCAAAGTGCTCCCTTTTTAGTGTCTCTCCCCAATTCTCTCTCTCTCTCTCACACACACACACACACACACACACACACACACACAAACTTGCTCTTGGCCAGAGCATGAGCATGCCCACACTCATTCACACTCAAGAAAAGAGTTTTCTATTTTTTTGTGTTGTTTTTCATTTTCATTATTTTTTCTTAAAAAGGAGTTATCCAAATATCTGGATAATAAATCATTTGCGTTTCCTAAGAAACTGGGTTTTTCGTTTTCCCTTGTGGTTTTTGTGTTTTTCTTCTTCTTTGAGCCTTACTAGCGGTCTGAAGCTTTCTTTTTCTTTCTTTCTTTTTCCTTTGTTTTTGGACAGGAGAAAGCAGTTTGTCTGAATTGTACCTGACTCTTCAAAGAGGAAAATGGTGTGAATAGAGGACTTGGGGAGGAGGAGAAACCAAAGAGCAAGGAGATGAAGAGCATAGCTAAAACAAACCCACAGGTCCCAGGCCCAGTGGGGGCAGGGGGGCCACCTCATTCCTCCCCACCTGCCTCTGAAGGCCTCAGCTCCACCCGGGCTCCCGCATGTGGAGGCCTGAGGCCAGGAGAGACAGCAGGGGATGGAGAATGAACACTTGGTACCCCTGACAACAGAGTACATGGATTCCTAAGGCTGATCGTGGTAGGTGGGGCAAGGGGAAGAGGAGCGGGTGACTCAGGCTGCAAGCTGGGGGCAATGGAGGCCGACCTGCCCCATGGGAGGCTTCCCTGAGCCTCCCTGCATCCACGCCCTGGCAGCCCCTACCAGGCCCAGCTCTGGAGCAGCTCAGCAGTCCCCATCAGTGGTCACAGCCACCAGCACCTCACTCCTGCCCATCTCCTCCAAGGCACTCGCCAGGCTGTTGAGGTCCCCGTCATCCTGCTGCAGAGCTTCCCAGAGGTCCAGGATCACACCTGTGGGGCTTGCTTTGGTGGCAAAGTAGTTCAGGTACCTGGGGGAAGGAAGGAGGATGCTGGGCTCATCAAATGCTCAGCACCTGCCAGGAGCCTGGGGGTGGAGGGAATGCGGGAGGCGTGAGACTGTGGGCTCTGGGATCCTACAATCCTGGATCAGCTTGCAGGCTGCGTAGCCCTGGGTCACTCACTGCCCCTCTCTGAGCCTCGGTTTTCTCATCTCTAAAATGGAAACTTACTCATCATTCATTGTCATTGTTATTATTATTGCTGAGAGATAGGCCCCAGGAGAGTCCGTCCACGCCTAGCACTGCATTGTCTCCCTCCCACATCTGCTCTCTGCCTGATCCTGCCATGTACCGTCCTGGGAGCAGGAACAAAGCCTTAGACACCCTTGTAAACCCCTCGAGTTTTCAGTGGGCATCTTACACATGAAGGCTGCTCTATGCAGGTTTATTAAATGGTTTCTCATAAGCATAACATAATGATAATGATTATTACTGCCATTATTTTTATCCAGCATTTTAAGTTCTCCAGAAGATTTTTGACACCAGGATGTATTCTGTTACTAAGCAAGCAATTCCAGAACACCTGTTCTCTCCCGGGCATGGGGTGGGGTGCTGATGGTGATCATACCTAGCTGGCTTTATCTGATTCTCAGGCAAACACCTGAGCAAGATGCCTCTCAGGGAATGAGTTCTCAGAATTAGCACACCCAAGCCTGAGCTCCTGATCTACAGCAAATGGTGGGCTCTTGTCTTAGACTGCTAAGCTGCCTGCCCCGCCTGCTCCCTAGGGACAAAGGGAGGTGGGGGCAGGCTGTGGTCTGGGCGCAGCACTCACCGATCCATGGAGAGCTTCTGCGCCAATAGCCGCCAGTCATTGCCCCGAGAGTTGGGGGCATCCAGGCTGTTGCATATCTTCTGGCGGATAGACAGTGGAATCTTGAAGGCATAGGGTCCCAGCTGGGTGGTGACAGTGCTGCTGGGGGCAGAGCAGAGGGCATCCAGGGAGCCAGCAGGCGTCTGGAAGGATAGGGGGCAAGGGTGAGAGAGGCAGAAGGCTCCCCTGTACATGGCTTTGCCATCTGCCCCTTCTGCCTAGGGACTGAGCTTGGGGAGGCTCCAGTCACTCCCTACTCTCTGGGCAGGCTCCAGCTGCCCCGTCAAAGTCCTCCTGCCCTGGAAGGTCAGCTCCCAAGGGCCAGGGCTGCATGGCCAACTACCAGCCCTGTGTGTGCATTATGCTAATGGATTGCCCCAGTCTATTGCTGATGCAGTCTCATGATTATGAAGCCACCAGGAACCTCAGCTAGTCTAATCCACATGAACCCATTTCACACATGTGGGGGAAATGAAGTCTAGAAAGGGGAAGTGACTTGCCCACAGTCACATACCAAGTTAGTGGCAGAGCTGGGTCTAGACCTATACCCAGTGCTCTTTACACTGCACTGCAAGGAGAGTACAGTACTGTCCCCCGGGACAGCCTGGGTTTTGTAA